TCACTCACATTTCTCTGTTTCACGATTGCATCACATTACTCATCACAACCATTCTGATTCAGTAATTTATCCATTTTTTTTTCAGTGATCTATCCTGGTCTTTGCAGTACCCTGCTTGTTTCCATCACCTGGTCATTTACCAATGCATGCCCGGGTGCAGATGTGACCTCACCCGTGCTTTCCCACTGCATTAGCACACCCTGCACTCCACGGACTGTGTCTCAGCTGATAGATCTTCACTCACATTTCTCTGTTTCACGATTGCATCACATTACTCATCACGACCATTCTGATTCAGTAATTTATCCATTATTTTTCAGTGATCTATCCTGCTCTTCACAGTACTCTGCTTGTTTCCATCACCTGGTAATCGTATGAATCTTTCTTGAGCATCATTTACCAATGCATGCCCGGGTGCAGATGCGACCTCACCCGTGCTTTCCCACTGCATTAGCACACCCTGCACTCCATGGACTGTGTCTCAGCTGATAGATCTTCACTCACATTTCTCTGTTTCACGATTGCATCACATTACTCATCACAACCATTCTGATTCAGTAATTTATCCATTTTTTTTTCAGTGATCTATCCTGGTCTTTGCAGTACCCTGCTTGTTTCCATCACCTGGTAGCAAATGTGCCTATTTTGCCCCTGGTAGAGGACTTTATGCCCTGCCCTATTGCATTTTATTCTCACTCCAGTGTCTGGGCTCATCCAACAGGATTTCCTGCTCCTCCTGGATGCTCCAGATTCCTCCCGACTTTAACTCACTGAATTACTGAAGGTGCTACTGTTTTTGTGCTCAGGTTATGGATAAAATATTGCTAAATCCAACTGATGGGTGTGAGAGCTCTCTCACCAGCAGGTCTTTCATGAGCAAATGTGCCTATTTTGCCCCTGGTAGAGGACTTTATGCCCTGCCCTATTGCATTTTGTTCTCGCTCCAGTGTCTGGGCTCATCCAACAGGATTTCCTGCTCCTCCTGGATGCTCCAGACTCCTCCCGATTTTAACCCACTGAATTACTGAAGGCGCTACCGTTTTTGTGCTCAGGTTATGGATAAAATATTGCTAAATCCAACTGATGGGTGTGAGAGCTCTCTCACCAGCAGAAGCATGGCATGAGCAGAAGCAGTTTCCCCTCTACAAATAGCACAGCTCTTGCCTAAGTGCCAGTTGCCTCCAATTCAACTCTAGCTCCTCATCTGACAGGGCTTTCTCAGAATGCCCCCGGATAAGATCTGCAACATTCTTATTTTTTTAGTAAATAGATTTCAAACCTATTTTATTCAATTTTCCACTTTCCTTCAAGTCTTTCATTATTTCCCTTTCAAAATGTGTTTTGTAGCCCTGCAACTCACTCAGTTCAGATTAGCAAGTCTTTTGATTGCTTGAACTGCTCATTACCTCCTTTTCAAATACGAGTATTGCATTTGGTTTGCGTTTTGTGGTGGGTTTTTTTCATTTAGCAAGTCTTTTGATTGCTTGAACTGCTCGTTACCTCCTTTTCAGATACAAGTATTGCGTTTGGTTTGGCTTTTGTGGTGGGTTTTTTTTCACTCCTGCTACCTTTCCTGATTTGATAGATTCTTATAAAATCCCTACTGACAGATCTGCAATTTCATGTGGTGGTTCTCAACAGTATGTTTGAGGGTTATTCTGGCATCAACTCCATTGCTTTAATTCCCTTCTATGGTCATCCGTGAATGTACTCACATTTCCATTCAAACATTTCTTGTTAGCCAAGGAAAATGTAATCCCATATTGCATATCATCTTCATTGAAAATAGAGGAGAATATTTGCTTGATCTTTATTGTATATAGAGAGATAGATTATCTTTAAGCCTAAAACTGTCCAAAACCTCATCCCTAGCCCATTTTAAGCCAATCACACATCTTCTTTACTTTTCTTCTTCTTTCTTATACAGCCAATGAGTTATTTGTTACTGTTTTCTGACCTTTGAACTGTAGCTTTCCTTTAGCTTTCTCCCACTCCCTCTAAGCTGTCTGCTTGCTGCTAATATTTTTTTAAGATAGTTAATTATCCCTTTAGGTTTCAATCTTTATCTTTGAGACACTGGCCCCAACTGTTTTTTGCACTTTGAATATGTCATTTTGATCTAAATCCACTAGGAGGAAGCATTCAACAAGTTTCACTGTCCTATTGCAGATCTGTGTCTTAATTTTATGACATTCAGAGAGTTTCAAGCAGGAACCAAGGGGTCACACATCTCCTTGAAAGTGCCGTGGCAACTAATCCCTTGAAGAAATGTATAACTATTCACCTTTTGGTCAGACTGGTTCCTCTGCTCCTTCTGCATTACTCCATTCCCTGAAGAACAGAAGTCACTTCTAATTTTCAGGGTAAGTTTTTCCTAACTATTCTGTTTTTCTTTTAAATGTTTTTCTCCCTCACTCATCTTTTCCCACCTGCTTTATTAACTGAGAGTTTTGATACGTCCTCTCAGCTGTTATTTCTAGGCTGAACAAAGTAAACTTGAATCTCTCACATTGTTTGTTATTCATTTTAGTATTGCTTCTCTGCACTTGATCTAGTTTTAATTCACAACTGTTGAATTGCAAAGGAAGGAAAATGGGAGGAAAAAACTTCTTTTTTCTTTAAAGTGCAGTAGGAGTTCCACGCCACGCATCTCTATCGATTTCCCCAAGAGCTGAGAAGCACTGAACTAAATTATCAGTACAGTCCCATTAATAATGATTGTCTTAATGGTAAAGTCAGTCTACCTTATGCTACAGCTTCTGATTTTTGCTGAAGAAAATAGCTTTTTATTGGTTAGTTTCACATAGACCTTCCCCCCTGCCTTTAACTCTTTGAACTGGGGTGCAAGTATTCAAGACCCTTACATTACTTTGATTTCCTGTGAAAAATGTGTGTGCTTTAGGCAGTGAAATCAAACCCACTACAGAGAGGTACAGTCTTGGCATCCTCATGTCCTTCATTGCTATGTTTGCTGTGCTGCCTCACTATCAAAGGAACAGACAAAGACGTTATGTTATTGAGCTGGTGTTTCTCAAAGGGAAAGGGAAAGGGAAGAGGTCTCAGCCTTCATGTTTTTGTTGTCTCTATTAATATCTTCTTTAAAAAATGCAATAATTTGGTGTAAAATTTGTAAATGATACATAGATTATGGGAGAGGTAACTGTTGAAGACACCAGGCTGTTAATCTAATGCTGTCAGAATAGTGCTTAAAAGGGGGCAAGTACATAAAACATTGTTTAGTATGACCAAAAATGATGGTAATCCATACGGAAACAAGACTGTATGCCACACAGCCATCAAAAAACCTGGGATTTTAGTAGGATATCAGTAGGATCCAAAATTAAGTGGGTTCAGAGGAGAACCAGAATGATTAAAAAACATGGCAAGGGCTGAAAACCGTATCACCTTTACTCAGAAGGGTTTCTGCAGAAGGTAAAATTCACCCTAGGAGGTACTTGTCATTTCTTGCACCAATAAACAATTCACTTTAGGTCCCAATTATCTTTTGCATCTGATCTACACTGGTGGAGCAGCTCTGACTCAGCTTCAGTGAGGCTTGTATGTAGTTGGCTGTCAATAAACTATTCTTACAATCAAAAATACCTCTTCCTGGCACACAGACTGGCAAAGATGACTTGTTCTACCTTTGAGTGTAGATGTGTTTAAATGCATAATCTACCAAGAGGATTTGATGTCAGGATTCAAACCAGGGGAGGTTTAGATTGGATAAAAAAATAGGAAAAAAAATTCACTGAAAGGGTTGTTAAGCATTGGACCAGGCTGCCCAGGGAAGTGGTTGAGTTGCCACCCCTGGAAGCATTTAAAAGCTGTGTAGATGTGGCACCGAGGGACATGGTTTAGTGGTGGACTTGGCAGTGTTAGGTTTACAGTTGGACTTGATCTTTTCCAACCTAAATGATTCTATGATTCTGTGACTGTTCAGTGCACACCCAAATCAATGAAATTGGTGCATGTGGCTCATTACTGGTTCTCAACAGACTCTGCCCATCACTGGAATCAGATATTGGACAGGCTGGAGCTGGGAAATACCATCTCACAAGTAGGAGGCAGTCAACTCTAAACTGTTGTGGATCACAAACTGTGCAAGTGGTTTGAAAATAATTTTAGCCAACTAAAATTATTTTAATAATATTGATTCCTTTGTAGTTGTTAGTTTTATTTGTTAGTGTGTAGGAATAAAGTCCTCTGGGTTCCAGTGGCACAGTGGTTCCAGTGACAAAATATAAAGCAAGGTTTTACAATTTTACTCAGCTCAACACAACTTCTGTAATATGAAGAGTTGTATTTATTCTTTCATTAATCTGCAGTAACACAAGTACAGTAGCATACATGCTGTGATTTATTCTGTAAATTGATCATATTGGAAGAAGTCCACTACACTGTGGCATATCTGTGGATCATGCGGTGGCTATGGCTGTGGTATATCAGTCCCCAAATGTTAAAAAAAAAAAAAAAGAAAAAAAGAAAAGAAAAAAGAAATCAGCAGCCTTTTGGTTAACAGGTTTATAAGAGTACTAATTAGGAGTGGACTAAGGGTAAATTTTATCTCCTTTCCCTTTGGCCATTTATCTTAACATTGACATTCTTTTCCTGTTCTCCAGTAGATCTGTTGCTGCTTGGGCTTTTCTCTGCCTCCTGCACCAGGGGTAACATCAGCAGATGTTGTCTGTCGCTGCTGTGAATACACCACAGCACTCGGGTACCATGGGACCTGCTTTGCAGTGGGGTCCCCTTGATCAAACAGATCCAAAACCTTTCAAAGCTTCTGTCTCTTCATATGTAAATACTGAACAAAGCTGAACACAACATAATCAAAAGCTACAATTTAGAAGCTACCACAGTTAAGCGATCATACCTAACTATGGTTAACTGATGATGATCAACAGACTTTATTTAATAGGGAGGCTGCCTCAGCTGACAAGTATTTACAATATCAGCTTCTGTGAACATTTTAAAATATTAACATTGTCACTGATTAACTATTTAATGTCTGGAGATTGTTGATTACGTGTAATTTCTCCATTCTCAACCCTGAGATTGCCACTGCTGGTTCTCGTGGCACTGTCATATGACGGAGGAAAGGATACCGAAGACAAAGTTTCAGACTTGTCAGGAATCTCACTATAGTTTTCACCCATCATTAATGCAATAAGTCCTTCTTGTTCCGGAGCAGCACCTCCAAGACTGTCACCACTGCAAGTTCTGCGATGATGCAGGTAAGAAGCCTGCTTTATGGAGCGCAGGAGCAAATGACTCCTGTAGGCACGCTGGATGACAGTGGCAGAAGCTTCCTCTTGTCTGTGTCTGAGAGTAGTGGAGATTGGCTCATAGGATTTTTTGGATGGATTGGCAGCCATGAACTTCTCCTCCATTTGCACTTTGAGAGTATCCATCTCCCCAGAATCTCCTAACACGCGTTTGGTAAAAGCAAACAAGATGTCCAAGCAGTGGATCCTATCTCCACTGACCATAGGCAGGTCCATTGCTATGAGTTCAACTTTGTTTGGTTTTGGTACACGTAAAGGTTCAGCCAGAGCATCTGCAAAGTCTGAAAGTGCTGAGAAAGTTATAAACTGAGTTGCCTCAGGATCAAACTTCTCCCAGACTTCATAAAAGATGTCAAAGTCATCTTCCCCTAAAGGCTCTGTACTTTCCTCAGTAGCAGCATTGAAGTTCTCCAGAATAACAGCTATGTACATGTTTACAACAATGAGAAATGATACAATGATGTAACTTACAAAATAAATAATACCGATGGCAGGTTTACCACATTCGCCTATAGTATCAGTTATGTTTGGATTGCAGTATGGAGGCCCAGTGTTTAAAATAGGACTGAGAAGACCATCCCAGCCAGCTGATGTTGTGATTTGGAAGAGACAGAGCATGCTGTTAGGAAAGGTTTGGAAGTTGAACATATCATCAATGCCATCTTCCATCTTCACATAGGGAAAGTTAGCCATGCCAAAAATGGCATAAATAAACATAACCAGAAAAAGCAAGAGGCCAATGTTAAACAGAGCAGGTAGGGACATCATTAAGGCAAAAAGCAGAGTTCGAATTCCTTTGGCAGCCCGGATGAGTCTCAGTATACGTCCAACCCGAGCCAGGCGAATTACCCTGAAGAGTGTAGGTGGTAAGAAATGTTCAAATGCTTTACCAATGCCAGAAAGCAGTAAGGCTAAAATGGAAAGGATAACAATTGGTTAGAATATCACATTTCTGGTTAACTAGTAAGTCGGATGAAATAATAATATCTGTACGGTTGAAAAATATCTGATGTGTGTGTGCTAAGACCCTAGCAGAAGTCAGAGTTGAAAAAATAGCTGTAGAATTCAGCAGTTATGAACTACATTCTTCAGCCACCAGGAGATAGTACCTATTGCACTAAGGATGGCAAGCACCTTTCTGCGCCCAACTTCAAATATCTGTATTAGTCAACACTCATTGACTGATGGTTGTCTTTGACACTGGTGGTACGAATACTTCAGCAGATGAAGGCTATGTATTTACCTTGTAAATTTAACTGTAAATACTGGAACTACAAAGCTAAACTAAGAAAACAAGATATAACAACAATGCCATGGTCATCATTTAGATAATATAGTCAAAATATGTATAAACAAGCCCACTGATGTTGTGTATGCCACTCTACAATGGCTTCCAGTTCATCCAGGGACACAGCTACACCTGGATGTTACTTTATCTTTAGCTTGCATTAAAATATTACAGATCTGGTAGCACTAAAAGAGGGTTATTTTTCTAGGTATAGGTGTTTTGGATACATTTTTCTGAATTTCCACTCTAGGAATTTAATTTCTTAAGGAAAAGTCATATTATTACTGGAATCTTACTTACTCAAATCAGAAGTCAAACTAAAGAAACAAAATATTTTCTTCCCCTTAATGCCTTCTGCTATTTTGTCAGTACTGGCCCTAGGAATAGTTAAATTGGCAGGAAACTCAAATTGGCAGAGGAGCTCTTTACTCCATTCTTCTATTGCAATCCTTTCAAATAAAAGCTAATACATTTGTGCTGTTCTTTTCTATCCTGTTACACCATGTGATTCCTTATTTTCAATCAGCTATGCCTGAGTTTCCAGAAACTGAATTCTGTAGTTTATAATCTAATTCCAGTCTTCGTTTTCTATATGTATTTCAATTCTCTGATACAAAAGTGGAAGACAAAACCCAGTAATTTCTATCTGATCAAATATTTCTTAGTTGGCACAACGGAAATTATCACATACGAAGGTAACAGCATGATGGGTTACTCATTCTGTCTTTCAGACTAGGAAAAAACTCTCTCAACAACCATTATGAAAGATCTTACACAACACGGCCACCTTTTTTAAAAAAATACTTTTATTAAAAGAAAAGAGCAGAAATTTTTAAAAAATCTTATTTCATATTATTTTAATATAATCGGGGGGGGGAGAGGGTTAGTTCTTTTTCCTCAAGACGTTACAGCATTATGATTTCCATTTCAACACCCATTTCCAGTTGATAAATCTTAACTATTTTTTTCTGAAAAGAACAGTAATTGATACAGTAAAGAATTTGCCAAAATAATTTTACTTACCAACAAGTGACATGATCACAACAACTAAATCAAATATGTTCCAGGCATTTGAGAAATAGTACTGCCTCAGAGCCACCAACTTCAGTACACATTCTGCAGTAAAGATGGCAACGAAGAGTATATTGATTTTGTTAAGGACCTCAGTCTTCGTTTTACTTTGCTCATAGGTTTCCACCATCATGGTGATCATATTAAGGCAGATGAGAATCATGATTACAACATCAAAGGCCTGGCGTGTTACAATGTCAAAAAGAAACCCTTGGTATCTGTTCTAGAGGAAAAAAATACATCTGACATCAGTTATGAAAGTAGGGAGTAATCATCTCTACATGTTTCCAACAGCTCCAATTTTTGTGTAGCAAAGTTCCTCAATTATGCTGAAATCAGAGAAATTTGAGAAAGGTAGAATGTAAAAATGACATTAAAAATCCCTTCCTATCCTGAAATTTAATCAGTTCCAAGGTGAGTGCAAAACCCAACAATATTTATGCAGAGAACTTAATAAATATTTAACCTGCATAATCATTCAGTCCAACTTTTTGGTATGGAATTGACTTTAGAGCACTTCCTGAGTATCAATGTAAAGACACTATAAATTATTTATATACAATATACAAACATACACTTTTCAGTGAATTAAATTGCACTTTTGCAATGCATTTTCATTTTGAAGAATTGAGACAGTCTTACCAATGGTCTTGGAATGGGTTTTTGAGGTTTCTTGGATCCTAACTTTTTCATTGCATTGTAGTATTTTTTCTGTTCTTCTGTCATAAAGATATCTTCCCCACCTAAGTATATAAAGAATTGTCACTGTTATTTGGTGAGAAAACAGCACTATTTTAGTTACAAAGTCTAAAATGCTGGAAACTAACATTCCTTCCTTTTTCGTATCTTGCCGGTACTAGCCCTTTTCATAATGTGGAACTGTGTCCAAAAAACCAGAGTGGCACAAACCATCCATTCACAGAGCAGAAATCCTGGGGTGAAACCCAGCTGGCTCAGAAAGCATGAAAACAAAGGACCTGCTGCAAACCTGGACAGGAACAAATCTTTCCTTGGCTTCCCACATCCTGGTCTTGTTGAATAACCAAAATACTTCTCACAGCATCTGTACCAGTCCACTTTCTAAATAACAAGGCTCCTGTCATGCTCAGTTCCCAAAAAAGGAAGAACATTTTAAGGAGCTGTAGAGAAAATGTCATTACCTTTGAGTTGTTGAGAAAGGGCTGGGTGTTCAGGTTATAGGGGGAAAGAAAGGAAGAAAAAGCTCATCCTGGGTGTTACTTCTGCTAACTTATATTACTAATGCTCTTGTAAATCCCAGTAGAAGTTTAAGATTCTATGTATAGTAAGGACCTTGTTCTCAAAAGACAGCATTTCTTGAGATACAGTAGGTGCCTGAGAGCACAAACAATATACTTATCTTTTTCTTCTGTTGGTTGAAGTTGTCAATAATAACACCAACAAAGAGATTCAGGGTAAAGAAAGATCCAAAGATGATGAAGTTCACAAAGTAAAGATACATAAATAGACTGTACTCCATTTGCGGTTGCTCATTTTTCTGCAAGAATGAGAAGCAACATGAAAAATTACTAATAACAACATGGACTCAATTTAGAATAATCTTCATATTGCACATCCTCTCACAAATTGATTCCAGGAGGAACTAAGATTACTGTTAATTCTGATGAAAGTTTAAAACTACCAGTACTGCATAACACAAAATATTGTATATATACGACACTTCTGGAAGGAGCATGAAATGGTGGAAGAAAGTAACATTTGTTTCATGATTACTAAGCGCGCCAAAATTCTAGGACCTCATAGGGACATTATTGCTCAGATGCCGACTGCTACCCCTTTTGAAATTAAACATGAACCTTACCAAAATAATACACCAAGCACACCTGAAATATAACTAACCAGAAAATATGGCTTAAAAAGACAGTACTACAAAGTGTTTATACTACAACAACTCATTAATTTTATTTCTTTTATAATGTTTATTTATGTAGTTCCTGGCTAGATCATTGCAGAACAGAATAATTTAATTAATACTGATAAATTTACAATGAAAAACTTGCAGAACGAAACTTAGTCTTTGACTAATGGTGAACGAGGTTTACTTTTACTTTAAAATATTCTTTTTTCATGAAAGCTGCTTGTTGTGGGTTGTTTTTTTTCTTTTCCAACCTATCTTAAAATCTTACCATTTGCAATTGATTGAGGCCCTACTAAAGTCAATATAAACTGTTACTGAGTTGTACACTCTTGACATGATTTTCATAAGCATTTCAGAAGCATCAGTTCACTTCTTCCAATAAGAACAGGAGCTGTAAATTGCTCAGTACTTGAAAAATCAAGTAAACTATTTAGAAGTCTAATACCAAGCTCTTGTCGTTAAAAACCTTGGCTGAGATATGTTTTTTTCTCCTTAGCAAAAAGTTATTCTATGCTTACTAAGGATAAAACAAAAACCAGAACAAGAAAAACAGTTTTTCAAATTGAAAAACACACACAAAAAAATATTAGACACCCACTTTGCCCATTTTCTTAAACAGTTGTTTTTAAAATTATGTGATTCCTTTGAAGGCATAATCAAATTAGCATAGCCTCTTCATTTCAAATTGTTTGCCTCCAAAGGCATAACACTTGGTTCTGTATAACATCGGATGATACTTCTAATAAGGCAGCAAATGCCACTGGCAATATGAGCAGTAGGCAAAATAGTACTGGTGATGCCCAATAATATATTTTAAATGGTTGCTTATCCACAATAGCTCATTTTTTGATGAAATTTGGGTTTCTGTTTCAAAGTGGACTTGGGTTGCATAAAAGAAGATGCATGGAAGTAGGCGCCTCCACATGAGTGGGAACACTCAACTCCCCTGCTTGCTGATGGACATCCAGTTATTAGTAGAGTCAATATAGCATAAAGAGATGTTCAGCTGAAGAATATATGCTCCCTAGATGCCTCTGAACACAGTGACTAGATCTCCATTAACCACAGAGGGCACTTGGAGGCAAACTCACCTGGAGAACTTACACTATAGGTAACTGTGTTTAGGTGGGTAGACCTGGAACCATGTCCCCATTAGAACAGATCAGCTTTAGGATAATATGACTCATTTGCAGACGAAATGTTTACATCGGCTGATAAAAATAATTACTGAAAAGAGTTAGCACAGCCAAACAGCAGACGTGAAGTGAAAAATTCATAACACTTTTGCAGAAAAAAGCAGTTTTAAGAAAAATTACAGTTCGAATATAGTGACTGACCTCTCGTGAGTCTACTGCTGCATACATGATGTCCATCCAACCTTTAAATGTTGCCTAGAATGAGAGATTATTGAAAACCTGTTGAACTTTCAGGGTAAAAGTCTTCATATAATTTGCAATATCTGAATGATGCTGACTGGAAAAAGAGGTTTTGGTGTGGTCACACCTCAACAAACTCCAACTTTAAGGAAATTTGGCCCTGCTGTATGTGTGGTGTTTTCAGACTTTCAGAGAAAGCTCACTTGGGTGTTTCAGAACATGTCCTAGGATGCTGGCAGGACAAACCTTCACTAGCATGTTCTACTAAAGGCCTTACAACCCTCATGGCTGAACAAATCTTTATTATGGCAGATTAGGCCAGTATTTGCCCCAGAATTCCTTCTGAAATTTACTCCAGCTCTCAGACTCACGAACCTGTTGGAGGATGAAACAGCAGTTGTCCACCAGATGCTTGCTTTATCACCTGTAAATTCACAGTGGGGTCTAATTTTTTCTCCTTTTCCCATTTGTGTGCTCAAATAGCACTGGTGTTTGAACATTCTCCTGTGTAGTTTGAGCATCTGTACTGACCACTCTTTTCCATCATCCAAAGAGATGAGTTAGGAGTGAGCAGGAGGTCAAGTCCACCTGACATGGAACTGGCTAGTGAAAGCAAGCAGCACTTACCACCTGAAGAAGAGCCAGGTATCCAGAGCCAACATTATCAAAGTTGACTTTAACATTCACCCAGAATATTTTTCCTGTGTTGTTATACATTATACAGTCTGATTTGTTATTGATCAAAGGATTTATGTCTGAATCTTCTTCCGTCAGATTCACACATTTTCCAAACTTCCCAGCAAACAGATTCACTCCCATAATGCTAAAGATGAGCCAGAAGATGAGGCAGACGAGCAGAACATTCATGATGGAAGGGATGGCTCCCACAAGGGCATTGACCACCACCTTGGATGAAATGGGAAAGGAAAAATACACTTAATCAAAGATGGGCTAAAATATTTTCTCCGTGCAATAAGCAGTCTACCTTAGTGATCTCAGCAAACAGAAACCTAATATTTTACATGTAAATATTAGTCACACCTGGCATGGGTACCTTGAACCCATTCAAAGTTCCATAGTATCTCTTAGGCTTTCAGAGGAATACTTGGTACTTTTTGGGCTGCTGTGAGTCACTTCCACTTAAGTATACTACAATGTGAGTCCATCCTCATTTGATGACTGTTCCTTGGCTTCGGACTGGGAAGTCTAAAGTTTGTTTTAAACTTTTATAACATAAAATTTCTGAAGTATTCACCCATAAGCACTAGCGCTTAGTCTTACCCTCATCCCTTCAAATCGTGACAATGCTCTTAAGGGTCTCAGAGCTCGAAGAGTCCTAAGAGATTTCGTGGCAGCAAATGCAGTGCCAAAGAGGTTTATTAAAGAGATCTGAGTGGGAAGACAAAACAAAATATTAGCAGTGTCCTGGTATCCATTTCCTTTATTCCTGTTTTTTTTTTTTTTTAAAGATAAAGTCTCCCAATATTTTCAATACCCAGAGTGCGTTATCCCGAGACCATCATTAAAGTAGGTAAGAGTACTGTCTTAGCTTTGCATCCACAAAACAGCGATTCTACTACTGCATCCTGCATCAGGACCCACGTAGAAATGCCAAAGGCAGAACTTACACCTACGATGAAGAAGTCCAGCCAGCACCAGGCATTGGTGAAATACTTCTTGAAGCCGTAGGCCACCCATTTCAGGAGCATCTCCAGCAAAAAGATGAAAGTGAACATTTTGTCAAGAAACGCCAACAGAATTTTAATGCGTTTTCTCTCATTTATATGGATGTCTTCAAATGTCTGAAATCATAATGTACAGATAAATGGCAGAAGTCAGAGGTGAACTTTATAAAATGAAAGTCTAACATCATTAAGACCTCTTCATCATTCAGTGTGTATTTTACACAGATCTAAACCCCATCTTTTACTCAAATCTATGTCTGAAAAAATTTCACTTCTCCCTGTCCTTCCTCATTCTTTTTGTCTATGTACTAAACCTCTGTGGACACACATCATGCACAATGGGATCCTAGGAGACAGGCATAAATTTCTTGAAATGAATTTGCAAAAATATACTTTCAAGAGAACAAATTAGTATTAATTCATTGAATGAATTTGTTTTGATGACATAAAAAAAGATAATTTCCCAACTATAAAACAACTTCCAGAGAAACTCAGAAAAATCCAGTAAAGAGTCAGAATAGAAACAGCTTCTGAGTTATATATTTTTAGCTTTGTTCACTCTCTCTCATAATTTGCAATAACATGAATAATAGATTTGCAGTAATTGCAATAGTGAATAAATGACTGTTATGTGAAACCTCTTTTTCTCCTGATAAGTTCAAAGATATTCACTGTGTTTTCTGCTAAAAACAACTTCTCTACCTGAAAATTAGGACTAAAAATGCTTCTAAAGAAATAAATGAAACTGTAATAAACTAACCAGTGCTCCGCTGCTCAGAAGAATCATAAATATAATAAAGGATTCAAACCAGGAATGTTCAACAATCTGGTAGCAGGTTTTTCTCAGATTCCACCATCTTTCTCCTCCAAATTTTATGGCACTACCCACATAACAACGAAAGTATCGAACACAACCTGAAAGTGAGAGACAGCAATGGAAGCATGGAAGGAATGCACACGCGTGTGAAGGGTTGCTCAAAAAACTTTTGGTGTCACATTAACTGCATCACTGTTGGTTTTTTTTTTTCATGTTGAAAAAAAGAAACCAAAACCAAACAACAGGAAATATCTAATTTTGTTTGCCTTTTAACTCCTATTTATATGCATGTAATATGGGAGTGCCTTTGGACAATTTTCCATTGTTTCAAGATATTTCTGAGATGATGGCAATGCTCTCAGTGACCTGGTGTTTGGGCACACAAAACTTGAAGACTATGGGAAGAGTTGATGTTAAAAAAAAAAAAAAAAAAAAAGCCTTTCTCAGTTTCTGCACACTGTTTGGAAAGCAGAGGTGAGAAACCCAGGAACAAAAAGGCTGAGAGATAGAGAAAGCAAACAGTTGTCTTCAATGTTGCAGCATTATACCCTGTCTTGCAAGGTCTATTCATTTACTTATTTGGTTCTGAATGTATGGAGTGGTTTTATACCATGTAACTTGCAAGAATATGTCATATTGTCAGCTCCGTAGAAGGAGACATCTCCTTTCAAGCTCACCAAATTGTCTTAGAGCAGACAATGACACCAGGGCCACCAACTGTTTACTGATCACCCCATTACAAAATCCTGGAATTAATTATTTACTAATCTTGCCAAGAATTAACTCACTTAGGCTAACATTTCCTTCCTCTAGGCTAATTCATGTTTTCAATAATGTGAAAAACATTAGTCAGAAGGCTTCTGTCATTTCCAAGCATGAAAAAATTAATGTATCTTTGTGTCATATATATGGTATCTTATACACATATTATATAGTATTGTATAACTCATATATATTATTTGATATAACATACGCAAAAAATTTTAATAATTTTTCTTTCAGTAATCCCAGTTTCCCCAGTAATGTGGATCTGGGATTGAGATGAGGCAGGGAATGGCACTTGCATAAAACAGT